ACGTTACGTTTAGTTTAGTTTTAGTTAGTACGTACGTACTTACGTTAGTTAGTTTAGTTAGTACGTCTACTACTCTCTCTCTCTCTCTCTCTCTCTCTATATATATATATATATATATATATATATATATATAGATATATTGTTTCTTAAAAAAATTAAATTTGCATACCACCTCTCACCTTTTCTTAAAAAAAAAACCTTTGCATACCACCTCTCATCGCATGATGAACACACAAAAGGAAATAAAAAAAATCTAAGAATGATATGTTGAAATCTCACATAACATCGGTGCAAAGACAACATTTATTTTGTATTTTGTGGATGATAAAATCTAGGCTTTTAAAAACTCAATTTTTTTTTTTCTCAAATTATTTATTTATTTATTCAAAAAATATGTTTTGCAATCCTAAGTTTTTGATCGAATGACCGGTAAGTGCCCTATTCTTCGGTAGATCAAATCCTTTCCCTAAAGTTTAAGACAATCACATTTTTCATAATTTGTATAGTAAGTAAGAGAATCTTACATTAACCCATAATATTAAATAATTTGGACTGGATTTTGGGTGATATACAACACGTAGGGGTTGGCAAAAGGATCCGATGCTGATGATGATACAATACGTATGGATCTAATGGTAGCCATACTAAGACGCTGTGAGTCGCATGATCATTAGTGAGTAGAATATACACTTCTTTATAATTTTACGTTAATTCCATTTTAGGCTACGAGATAATGTGTTGCAACATGTATTATTTTTGGGACTCATTATTATTATTATTATTTATATTTATGCATCTCAATGTCAAGAAGACTAATTAGAGGGTTTTTTAATATTAAAACAACATTTCCTGATGGATTTTTGAGGTATATCTTTAATTCTATATTTTAAAGTTGCAACCTTATGTATACTTTTTCCTGTAGAAAAATATTTATAAGTATTTTCAATTTAGAAAGACATGGCATGGGAATCTAAATAAAACACCGATCCAGCCTAAGAACCGGATTGCTATTAGATGATTCCTAATTTGGATTGGGCGGTTTTGATTTACACTGGGGATGTTTTAAACACTTGCTCAGAAAACTAATGTTCCAAGGTTAAATGGACATTACTATTATTATTATTATTTTTAGATCATTAGATCTAAATAGAGTTTATTAAATATTTAGATGGTCAGATCTAAGTATATAAGAACTTAAAATCTTTTTTGCGAAAATACTCGTGTGGTGTTTGTCTAGTGGATCTCATAATTCTATATCGAAAATAACTCTCTTTCCCCGAGGGAGCATATGTATAGAATACTCACGCATCAATATGCCATACGCCATTGGCGTACTCGAGTTAAAAAGAAAAGATGGAATATCAATGTAGATGGTGAAATTGTCACGAGAAGGATGCATATATCACGCGCCCATTTAACACGGGGACGGAGACATGAAACCCATCCCAAGGTCTTCCACATGACGAGAATACCGCTACGTATTTTCGAAATACCCCAGTCATCCCTTCTATTTATGACCATATCGCCACATTTCTTATGTTAAGTCATAGCTTAGGGTGCGGTTTGCATACGGACGCAACCGTAGGTGTAGATGTAAGGTGCATATTCAAATTTTATCATGGTATATAATTTTGATGTAAAATGTTCTTAATATTATCTCAAAATCTATTTTTATATCTAATCATAAAATTTTAAATTTTAAAAATAGTTAAAATTAAGTAGATCTATAAACATATGAAAATCTTGAAAATGGACGGTGTAGATAATATGTTGTAAAATGCATTATTTATGATACTTAAAATCTTTTTAGTTTTCATAGTCATGCATCTCGATATTGAGATGATCAATCAAAGTGTTTTTCAATATTAAAACTACCTTTTCCAATAGATTTTTAAGGGGCATCCGTAGTTCTACATTATAAGTTAGCATGTTTATATAAACTTTTTATGTTTTTATAGGGTGTAGTTAGCATACGGATGCATCCGTAGCTGTAGAGGTAAGATGCACCTTCAAATTTTATCATGTTATATACTTTTGATATAAAATGTTCTTAAGATAATCTGAAAATCTATTTTTATATCTAATTATAAAATTTTAAATTTAAAAAATGGTTAAAATCAAGTAGATGTATAAACATATGAAAATCTTTAAAATGGATAGTGTAGATAATATATTTTAAAATGCACTATTTTTTAGAGTAAAAAACGTTTTATTTTTCATGGTCATACATCTCGATGTCGAGATGATCAATCAAAGGGTTTTTCAACATTAAAACTATCTTTTCCGATGGATTTTTGAGGTGCATCCATAATTCTACATATATGGTTGCAAGCTTATATAAACATTTTCCTATTTTATATTAAGCTCATAAGGACATGGTTGAAATTAATAAAAGAGATGTAGCTACTTATGCGTTGAAGGTATGACCCTGGATAGAGCAAAATAGCGGATCAGAATTTAAAATCTATATAGAAATATATTGCTATATAACCCTCATAAATTACCTTTTGACATGGAAAAGGTTCTAGTTGACGTTAATGCTAAGTTCAATGCTTGCTGTTGTACTACCTAAAAAGAAAAAAAATGTGTTCTACAATGGACATATAAAACATTGTTGGCCTACTCTCTTAGCATAGCGTAGCATTTTCATTTGTGAGCATCAAAGAATCATCCATTGTCAATAATGGGGCTGGGGTTGTGGTGGTAGTACCACTTGGGCCCCAGTTAAAATTCATGGCCTCCATTTTCACTAACACTTTAAAAAATAATCATACACAGTTGGATGATGAAGCTCATTTATATGCTTAGATCATTACCAATAAGAGCAAGTTTACATAGCAGTAGAAGGTGCAGCCTACATTGATATATTGGTTTTGGGTGAGAGACGCACAGTTCAAGTTTAACTTTTTTTTTTTTGGGTGTGATTTCTACAAGGTTGCAACTATAAACAATCCAATTAAGGCACACTCCAAAGTTTATCATAATATGTACTTTTGGCATAAGCAATTCTTAGGATTATATGAAAATCGATTTTCATATCTAATTATAAAATTTTAACTTAAAAAATAGTTAAAATCAAGTAGATCTATAAATGTATGGAAACCGTGAAAATAGACAGTCTAGATAATATGTTGTAAGATGCACTATTTTTAAGACTCAAAATCATATTTTTTTATCCATATTCATACATCTCAATATCCAGATAATCAATTAGAGGGTTTTTCAACTTTAAAACAATCTTTTCTAGTAAATTTTTGAGGTGCATCTTTAATCTTACATTTTTAAAGTTGCAACCTTATATAAAATTTTTTTTTTTTCTTTTTAATTTTTGGGTATATTTCAAATTATGGGTTTGAAGCACCCTCCTAGGGAGAAAAACAATGCAATTTTCATATTTCCATCGAAAAATATTAAGTAATACATTATAATCAATCCACAACCCCTTTACATTTCCGCTTTGAATCCCCGGCAATCTAGGTCCAAAATTTACAAATACAACAAACAGAAGTGAAGGCACTTTAAGAAAAATAAGGGTATCCTTGTCATGTCTAAATACTTGCAGGGTAGTTTGGTCATCTTCGAGCCTTTCAGAAAAGAAACACCACGCAAGCCCTTTTATATGGCGTGAGTGGCTGTTACAACTATCAAGCGTGCGAAACGTGATCATCATCGCACTCTTTACTTTTAGCCCCGATTTCTATCCGTACACGTGTCATGGTATCCACTTCGGACTTTCTAGCTTCGTGGTTCCCCTGGTTCGATATCCTGCACCGTACATTGGTCTGGCTGGTCGAGGAGCTGCTTGCTTTGGCCCCATACGAAAGCGTATAGGCCCCCAATTATGAGAACTGCTCCTAAAATACTGAGAAAATTCATCAAAATAAATTATAGAGTTTAAAAATAAAACTTAGGCGACCCCAAATAGTTGAAAAGATGTTTCAATGATCAACATTATTGTTTTAGCCTTTTTCCAATTAATTGGGGTCAACTGATAGGTTTTGATAAAATTTTACGTTGGCTGTCTACTTAACACAATTATGCCCTTTTACTCGAGCATGGGATGGGTTAAAGGAAAGTTTAAGGTCATAACCCTTCTTAAATCAAAAGAGGCTTGATGAAAAATAAAACTTATTAAATTTAGCTTGAGATTTATCGAAAACTGGTAGATGGGGGTGACGAACCTTCCGAGATGGAGATGTTCGGCTAGGATCATGGGGCTTAAGATTGCGACTATGATTTGGATCAAGGGGCTGAACACAGTGACAAAGCATGGTCCTCTCTTTCTTATACACCAAAACACAATGCAAAAGCCTATGCCTGATGGCACCAAACCCTGTCCAGAATCATATAATTATATGGGTATTATGCCCTTCTATTTTACTGAAACCATATGACATGTCCAATATGATAAACTCTATTTTGGATTTTGTGCCCAAATAATCGCACACTCAACTATCTGATTTCAAATCTAATGGTCAATAATAATTGTGGTATATCAAAAAATAAATGGTCTCATATATATATATATATATATATATATATATATATATATATATATATATAATAGTAGTAGACTATACTACTAATAATATAAGTAACGTAAGTAAGTACTACTACGTACGTAGTAGTAACGTAACGTAGTACGGTACGTACGTAC